TAAAGCCTCCCAAACCAAAACATATCTTGCCATTTAAAGCTGCAACTGCCGAGATCAAAAGAGACTAATCACATGGACGTAGACCCTGCATCAAATGTTCAATCACAGGACGACTCAACGACAAGCCACGGACACACCGAATCAGCAGAGAGCAAATTCAACAACTGAAGTCTCCTTAGAACAAGTAATCTGAGATCGCAGCACAATGAACGGTACAATAATGCTGTGTCATAAAACCCTTACAACAAACCTACGATGGACCCTTTATAGTGGTATAACGTGACGACAAATTTGTTACAATTGAAATAGATGGGTCTCTTATTACTTTGAAAGTAGACCGACTAAAAGAAGACTACATGAAAGAGGACAACATTCTTTTTCCACATTTAAACAGTGGTGAACTTCCCCTGCACTCCTCTGTATTCTCACTCTGTCCAGCCTCCTGTCATGGCTGACCCCTAAGACTAGCAGTTTGCTTTGCTGATTCGCCTCAGTAATTGTCCGTAATTCAGGATGTCTATAAGGGACAATAGGTTTTGCATACAGCCTCGACACGGTCGTTCTACTCTCGCATTATTCCATTCCTAGGCTCTGTAATGGAGACGAAAACTCATTAGTGAGATGCCTGTCAATCCTCTTTGCTCTAGTTAATGCCCACGTGACGTCACGAAGCCGCAAGTCACGATCTCGGTCACATGACATCTCTGCAATGCCACGCTGCTCACTCTTGACCAATGACTGAGCATCTAGATTGTGACAACCTGCGATCCCACCAGATTGCTATTCCCATAAGACCGAAGATGACCCCAGATTCTCATCAAATACTTTTACTACTGCCGCGATCTCAATGGAGTGGTCTACTAAAGGGGGTCCGCAGTATGTAAGGGCTCGTCATCGTCATCCTCTTTTGACAAGACATATCGTTAAAGTTTATTAATGTTAACGATTTACCCATGGCTTGGACTGTCGTCTAGACTACGAATTACATACGTCGCTAAAGTAAAGACCGAGACGGCCACATATGGCCTACCTTCACTCACTGTATTCGTCGTAGCCATCTGCACTAGATCGCCTTTCTCTACTAGAGTAAATGTGCCCGTTTATCATAATAATCCTTTTGTCGCCCGTGGGCTATGGTTAGCAGTGACTTGGCTGAGTTGAAAGACTGACGCATTTGGCGTCGCGCGTCAGCAACGCATTTGAAATGTCTTGCAAAAGCCAGTTTTCTAAGTGATAATGCCACAACGTCGACTGACAGCCGTAACTCATGTTCAAAGGACATATAACTTTGGTAAGGCCAGTGAAGGAGTGCACAGCAGACCTGTAGGCCTGTAGACATGCTTGTAAAGCACCTTTTAAATTGACAGTCAGATTGTATTTATAGACATTTTTATGTCTTATTCGTCTTAGGCTATAATAAAGCAATGTGATACAGCTACTGCATGTTGCAAGTAGCAAATACGTTTGGTTTCACCTCAAGGATGTCGTAACCGCAACAAGAGAGCAGCATTTCAAAGTTGAAAACAGGTAGAGAGTAAAAACGTTTGCCTTCCACTTTGCCCTATCTTGCATAATATTTTTTTTATCATGTTATATTCCAACTTGATAGGACAAATTTTTTGGGGTTAATAAAATCATGCTTAGGCGGCATTTTAACCAAACTTTGAGAAACATTTTTTCCATGGTTTGATATTACAAATCGTAGGAAAATGATGGGGCAGGTCATCCGAACCGGTAAATGAGTTTACTCTCGGTTAAGTGAAAATTTTAAGTTGAGCAAATTCAAAAAGTCAAATTCGAAATATTTTTGAAGTGTACAGTTAGGTAGGTCTCTAATGTCAAATTAATGTTTACATTTTTGTAAAAATATACGTTGGTTTACACGACCAGACTGGGTCATTAAAATAAAAGATAGGAGTTTTACACTGCATAGGTGGTTGACGAACAAAGCTGATAGCCATACGGTGTCAATATGTAATTATAATTGGAATATCATCAATGTGTCAAGCTTGATTTTTCTATGAAGTACAATGTATAAAAATCTACTCTAGCGTACATTTTGACACTTCTTTGCAAGCCTCTTGTCTCGTTCGGTAAGGCTTTATTATAGTACTTTTAGTTAATGAGCTGCAATGTTAAAACGAAACATTACCAGATCTTTTTGGTGTACTTACGAGTCATTTGGTTTGACATTCGCCACGCAGAAAACCTTTGCAATTTTTTGTCAAGTAATTTAGAGGTCGACTGATGTTTGAAGGTATAAGTACAAACATTTTTACAATTCAAATTGAAATATCCGAGTTAGGTACTTTGCTACTGTTGTTACAGATTCCAATTGAAAAATACTATGTGCCGGCATCTTTAATCTGATTTAACGCTTACTTGAAACCTCATGTTTTATTTGCATGACCAGCTGCCATAGGTTTTACAGCATGTTCAGTAGATAATTAAGCCATATATTATCAGTAATGTAAGGTGACTGAAAACGACGAAATTTGGTTGTCATGTTACATTTGCTAATCGACCTTCCAGCTTGTGATGCCACAATTCCAATAACTAAAGTTTTTGCCATCATTTGCTAAATTTGGACATGGTTTTCGGTGTCAAGGTATAGATTTGGGGTATTCAAAATGCAGTGCGGACAAATAATTCACAAAATAACGTAAATGAGGAACACAAATACAATGATTGTTGCATCCTGAACGTTATCAAATTTTCAACCGAGTGGTAATGGAACAACTGGGGTTTCCTTGTAAACACTAACTTGAATGACTGCAATATGCCAATATTTCGTCAACTCTAAAAGATCAAGTAAAGCTAGCTTTAACAGAAGCTAATGGACATTCGTCCACAAGATTTACATATATCTAGCGTCTTACCTAGATATGTACTCTCAGATTCGATATTTATTTTCGTAATTTATTTATTTCTTTACAAAAAAAAACAAATGCTTATTCTACACTCGAATGAGATTTGAAATATTTGAATAGCCTGGGTTCAGGTTCAGTGCATTTGGATACTTTACTTGACGTATACATCTTTTTTCATCATAATGTAGTTTTGCTGTTTTGAAAAGTAACATGTTTTCGGTAAGCCTTTTCTCTGTAAATTTTACTGTTGTTTTTTTATGATCGCACATTTGCCACGTCGCACAAACATTTTTATTCCTTCTGCTCAAGGGTTTCATATAATAGTATTAAATCACACCTAGGTAGTGTGATAATAAAATGTTTTGGATGGCACAATGCTGTTGCACCAACAGGCTAAATAAATGCTTTTTCTTAATTTGTATGAGCCCATGATCAAGGGAAAGTGTCTAATATTTGAGCCAATGCTACCTCAATTTCAGCAAATCTTTTAAATCGACATTAGTAGATATAATTTTAGTCAAAGTCATTGAAAACAGTAAGCAGAGTTTCACCAAAGTTGCGCCCACGCGATCTGAATTACAATGCTCTTTTATCAGAAGGCGATTGCAGGAAAGTGTGAATTTTTTTAGTTTCTTGACTTCGACGACCATACCTAATCGGCATACATTTGAGCTTTGTTTTAAAAATGTGTTCAGTAACATGTCTCCAATTTTTTTTAAAAATAGAATCGTTGTGGAACTAAGATTCAGACCGTAACCATAGCTTTTTTCTATAAAACGATTTGCAATGCAACTTTTGATACCTTGAAATAAGCAAGTAATTAATATTACGCGAATTGGCAGGGTTTTCAAATGAATATCATCATGATAGAAAAAAACAAGGAAGTTGGTGTGTTTTTTGCAGTTTGGCCTTTCAAAACCATAAAAGTAGGTTGCTTATCGAAAACAGTAAATAGCCATCCGCAGATATATAAAAAAAATTCTTCATATGTAAGTTAGGTCTACCATGAATGTTCGATGCAAATTTTATACTTATGTGGCTCTGTATAATACGAAGAATTTATTTGCTTTAAATTACGATTGCGAACAAATATATAATATATGCTTTTGCGGAATCAACCACGGTTATGTTGACATTGCATTTTTGTTCTCTGTTAATGATCTCCCAACCAATAGCAAAAAAGAAAAGGGTCTCTTTAACATAAACTTAATGATATCGCGCTAACTCTCTTCTTCTCTGACATGTACATATTGTCTAATGTTTGTCCACATAACGGTTAACCAGTTTAATTACTGCGATATGAATCGGGCAAATTAATCTGTTACATGCATTACAAATATTCCCTTTTAGTTTCATTATCATCAATTGTTTAATCTAAATAGTTTGTACAGTTAATTCGTATACACTAAATTATAACTGATTTTTGTGTATAAAAGCGTGATGGAAGTGTGTAGATGTGCAATGAGCAACAACACATTGATCACTGGCATTTATATATTAAAATAAGTAAAAAATTGTAAAGCCTGCTAAGCTATTTTGAATGGTAACAAGGCGCCATTTTAGAACTGAAGGTTTTTTATATACTGTGCACAATTTCGCAATCTATGAAGATAGCTTCTGAAATAAAAGGCATTTAACCGTTTACTTTTTTGAGGCTTAATCTAAAGTGGGCACCAGACACAAATTTCACTCGTGTTACGAGCTACAGTTCCCTAACTCCACACTTGTGCAACCAAATTTCATTTTTCATTCTAAACAAAACATCAACAGAGGCTCGAATAGCCTTAGCTTAAAAAGGTACGCATCCAAAAATACTGATGGCTAAAGAATATTTCTCTCGCGGAAAATTTCACCTTCGAGAAATCGATAAAAAATCTTGCAAAACCACTTGTCTAATATGAATGTTGTCTTTCCTATCTATCTAGCTCTACTTTTCACACATAATGTCCCAAAACCCTACATTTTTGCTGAACCGCAATTTAATGATCACGTTGCTAGGACAGCAGAGAAGTATGTTTGTGAAAAAATCGATTTATTTAAACTAATCTACAACAAGGCAATGAAGCGATGAAAAATTCAGTGAAGCCGCACGATTTAGTTACACAGAGCCTTTCCGTTGTAAGTGGAATTTTAGAATTCAGGCAGGGTGTATGCACTGTTCTTGCTCTCAACCTGTTCGAGGTGTTCCTCACATTGGTTGCGGACACATCTATGTTGAGGAGGGCACTTGGTACAGCTCTCTCCCTCTTCATATGGCTTCATGTCATCAATCCTTTGTCTACAAAAATAAAACGGTTAATTTGAGATATGGGCGTATTTAATGCTAGCGCCTTTCAAAAACATAGGTATGTAGTTGTTGGGGATCCAAGATTCCCCTAGATTGGTTTCTGATGCCATTTACAATTATTCACTAACATTTGATTAGCTGCACTCTTTATCAAGTCAAGGTTAAGCTGATTTAAATTAGTTCACTTCCGGACTGCACGCTGCACGTGGCTGACGTGATTAAAGCTCTCTACACGAGCTCTGGTCTTGTTCTTGTATTAGCCTGGAAAGGTCGGTTCCAGCTTCAGCTAGGGAAATGGTCCCGTTATTTGAGTGGTTTCCTTTCTGTTACGGGCAAACGTAACAGTATGTTACTGGCACACAATCTAAAAGAGGAAATGTTCTGTTCCATCAGACTAATTATTATACCATGATTTTTTTGCGGTTGCTAGTGAACAACAAACGTTGGGGGTTACCAATTAATTTCCTGCATCATGTTTGATTTTTCGTTTTAAGGACCAAATTAAATCACTATAACTTACGCAATTTTATACACACAGACCACGACATTGGCCGGCGTTACTTTACGCTGAACATACGTCACGCAGGTTTTCATTGCACAACCAACCTCAGTTAAATTGGCCCATATGATCTACAGAACAATACATGAAATGGAATGCATATCAATTTAATGATATAATATTGACTTTATTTCATGTTTATTCCCGTAGTCAATCGCCTAATCGTAGAACCATTAGTTTCGATTTAGCTGCCTGTTTAGTGTAAATGACTGATGCACTACTTGATTTTTCTATGGCAAGTATTTTCACAGCAAATATAAATAACTCATAATCCATCAGAGTCCACGTAAAGCACATATCATTATGCGTTGTTTTTGGAGCAAACAACTTTCTTGAAACTGCATTGTGCTAAGCTGTTTTATAACAAAAAAATTCTACTCACTAACAAAGTCTTTGAGCATTACACATACCTGCTTATAAAAGTCGCATTCACCAGTACATGTATTGTCCCGGTATTCATAATGTTGTGCCTCTTCTTTGACGGCAGAAATAGTTTTCGTAAATGTTGTCTGAGATTTATGACTAACGATCAGAACCTGGGCAGTGCCTGCATAGTCCTTGTAGATGGAGGGATCTGGTTTTCTTGAGACGCATCTATCCACCCATTTCTCAGCCAGGCCTTCCATGGTTCCTGAATATTTCTAAATTATATAATGCAACTAATGCAATTAGCATGCAAATTAAGTGAGTAATGTTTTAACAGTGGTTTCGCTTCCACGTCGATAGGAACAATAATGTTGCTTACCAAATCTTGGCACCTGTATTTATAAGAACCTACTCTTATCATGGCAGTAACAATGACTCATCACCTTTCCATTGGTTACTCTTATCAAATGCCTGTCGTTCGTTAACTCATCCACACACTTGGCTGGCGTGGAGCTAATAAACGGTCATGTCATCTTTATCTTCTCTTCTCTTTATTATCGGGTTGTTAAAGGCTGTTAACTAGAGGGTTGTAGGTTGGTGCTAGACTACAAGCCACTAAAAGTCTTAAAGCAGCTAACTTGCGATATTACAATTTTTGAAAGGGCAAGCAAACTGCCAATGTGTGCTTTGTAACCTGATGCAAAAAAATTACTAACTCACCATTAGCCGCATGTTTTTCGAAGGTGGGTCGACGTGTTGACGAACGTATGTATGCACCTCCAAAATAGCCTCACGTTCTGTCTCAGATGGCACCGTGGCGGCTGCTTGCCAACTCATTGCCAGAACACATACAAGGATACACACCATTTCTACAATTCTGCCCACATAAGTCATGTAGATAAACTTGCCTTGTAACAAACATCACCGATGTCTCCTTCCACTAAGAGGCAGTCTTAACACGATTATTGTCAGCATTGAAGATCAATTTATAGTGTAAGCTCATAAATACCAATCAAATTGAACTGAGATAGAGAACCAATTAAATCGCTGTGTTTGGGTTTTGTTCATTGTGATACGGCTTTATCGAAAGCTAGAATAGATTTAGGTGTCATAACATTTAAGTTTTAAAATAAATCTTGAGACTTTTTAACAATTTAATTAATTACTCGAATTGCCTCTAACTTGTTAGACAAATCGGTGTTAAGGTGACATTCTTTTGACACCGACGTTAAATTTTGCACTCTTAAGTGTCTTAAATATCTATTAACTGGCATTATTGCCTTGTATTCAAACAATACTTACCTTGAGTGTTGCATATATGTTTGATACCTAAATGTCCATTATTCACATTCATTCGTAGGAGAATTCTGAAGTATGTTAAGTGACATCATCCTCAAAAAAGCAGTATAAAAACCTTATAAACTTTCCGACTCGGTGCCAGCCGCTGGAGTAATTGTTCCATCCCTTTATCGCCATCTCACTTGCGTTGAGAGTTGAAACTTTAGGCCTAGCAACTAAAACTACACACTCCCTCACATTACCGGCATCCAGATGACTTATAAGACGCTAGTTCCCCGCCATGCCTCAATAATATACGACATGGTAGAGCCTAGTGCGGCAGGAATTTTCTGCCTCAGCCAAAGGCCAAGTAATCTGTGTGCATTTCAACACATGGAAATCACGGATGATCTTGACCTGATGGATAATGCTTAGAGGGAAGGTGTAAAAGTGGTCAAAAACCGGCGATGAGCCAACTTGGTAAATCCTGGAGACCCGAAATCTCAATAAAACCTGAAGTTAGTGGGTTTGCGAAAATGGAACAGTTGTGCACTTTGGTTAAACATCACTCCTGTCCTTGTTTACACCGCAACTTTATGACGTCTATAATTTTTGCGTTTTGCAAGTGGGATACAAAGAGTAAGATATCGCAGCTCACACTGTATTTAATAGTTGTGTTTTCACATCAACTAAGGGCAATTTTTGAATCAAAGTCAATCGTTTTATATTCATACACTTGCATGTGACGTTAGTGTTTTTAAGCCAATGCTTTTAAAGAATTTAGCTTATAGAAATGCAAATGAAATGTCTGTTAAATGAGAATGTCCGATTCCTAGATTTCTAAATGAATATAATAGTGAAGTTGCCTGTAGATCGCAAATATTCACATGGAAGAAGTGGCAAATATTAAAGTTATTTCCCCGATATTCAAAACTAATTGGCAAAGACGGCAAAATAAGACGGATCATAAATTTGAACAAAACAAAAGGCCGCACGTGTAAAATCGCAAACCATTGTGCATATTTTGCAAAGGCGATGCCCTTAAAAATTCCAGTTGTTACATTTCAGAATTCATGTGAAAGTTTGCCTGTTTATGTTACCCCCAACTGATCAACGATTCCCCACATTCTAAAAAAACGAATAAAGCTTGCGTTCACAGCAATTTCTTTAACTGTATTTGCTCTGTGCCATGCGCTGCAGATTTATTCCTTTTCCTTAAGTATTTTAGTCGGAAACAATGACTTTCTCCCCATACACGCAACGAATTAATATACCAATTTTTATAATTTAAATACTAAAAAAGGCAAGGAATGGATGTGCAGAAAAAAGGACTGAACATATCAGCTCGTAACGGGTTTTGCGTATTTTATGGATATAATAATTTACACAATTTCCATTGCAACGTGTAAGCATTCATGCTTATGGCAACCTAAGACCTTAATTATTTAGCAAATGCAGCAAAAGAACTCAATCTAGTGCACTCGATTAAATTTAATTCCTTGGCTTTTTGATCAACAGTATCTAATGCAAACTACGTGATGCTAATCTAATTGTTGGCCTAAAGTAACTTAACATGTTACATTAACGGCCTCTGTAGTGTAAAAAATGTCGAATTACAGCACTTAATGTGTATAAAAACTTGAGATTCCAATCTGCCCTAAGGGGATCATACGTGATTCATCTGGTGAATATTTTGGAATGTCAAAATATCTTGTGGCATTAGATTTATGTTTTGAAATGTTAGTTTAACGAGAATGTCTGATTCCTAAATTTCTAAATAAATGGAATGATAGCGAAGTCGCCTGTAGATTGCAAATGTTCGCATGGAAGAAGTGGTAAATATCAGTTATTTCCCCGATATTCAAAACAAATTTGTAAAGATGCAAAATAAGACGGATCATAAATATGAACAAAACTTGGGCCTGCACGTGTAAGGTCATAAACCAAATTTGATTACCGTTGTGTGTATTTTGTAAAGGCGATGTTTTTCGAAATGCCCATGCTTACATTTCGGCATACATGCGACTGTTTCTTTATACTACCCTAACTGCTAAATGATTCCACGCATTTTAGAAAAGCCGATTGAGCTTTCTTCCATGGCAATTTCTTGAAATGTATTTATTCTATGCCATGCGCTGCTGATTTACTCGAATACTGTGTCATTCTCCTCTCACATACAACGAATTAATATACCTACTTTTGTAGTTTCAATATTTAAAAAAGACAAGGCATACAAGCGAAGAAAATTGACTGAGCATGTCAGCTTGTGACCAATACTGCGTATTTTATAATGTTCATGATTACGATATTTCCACCGTAAAGTTTAAGCATTAATGTTAAATCTTGCACGTTTATGCCACCCGAAGAGCTAAATTACTTTTAAAATGCTGCAGGTTAGTTCATTTGATTAACTTTAATTCCTTGGCATTCTAATCAGCAGTACCTAATAAAACTTATGTGATGCTAATCCAACTGTTGGCTTAAAGTAAAAGCATGTTACAATAACGGCCGCTGTAGTGTAAAAGATGTCGAATTACAGCACAGGATGCTATCAATTACAGATCTTTTAAGGTAAATTCGTAAGAACTACCCTCATTTTGAATTAATAGAGCTTAGTTTATGATAATTTGCATTTTTTTTAGTTTTAGGAACACTTTGCTTGTCATGATAATCAAGCAAAGGTGGTTTTTTGATAAACTTTCACAAGTTTTGTGAAAAAAAAACATTTTATCAAAGTTGCACAAGATTATAATAGTTGATAGTAGTGTAGTGCCTCAAAAAATTGATAAAAATGGTTGTTTCTACGACGGAGCGATCGTAACCTAAAATGCTATTTTTTTTTCTGCAAAAATATAGGCTAAAGACTTATTATTTTGTTTTAAATGAGAATAGTAAATCATTCTAATATTTTTACACTTGGGGATTTTTTTCCCGATATGCCATTGTTCAACACAAAATAAGGAACTTTTGTGAATCATGCACATTTGCACCCCTTAATCCGATCGCTTCACCTCTGACACAGGGTTCCACTTTTCCGCAGCATGTCGCCAGCCAAACGATCCTCAACTCCAACCTCTTGGATTATCCTCACACCTAGGTCTCGATGTTGGCGCATGCATGACTAAATACACATGCATGCAGGTATAAATACACACGCGCAAACTCCACACACGACAAAACGACACCAACGTGTTCACGTCCTCACCGGTCTTTTTCTTTATCGCGGGTATCAGGGAAACGTCATCAAGCCAGGGTTAATTCCATGGCCCCGGAGTGGTTTTAGAAGCCATGCTGGGACTTACAACAGAACATCTGAACATCAGCATTCCCGTAACGTAATCAGTCATGCAGCGTCCTTACCTGTAACTGAACAGAGAATAATATCTTACAGGACTGTCTGTCGTTTACTGTTAATGCCGTAGCGAAACAAGGGCTGGGGAAAAATTATGTTTTTTTTTTCATTTTAAGATTAAATTTAACAAAATCCGTTAGTCCATTTCTTATGAACTTGGAATCAAAGTTGGCATTAAAGAAATAAACAGCCTGACATTAAATGTTGGATATTTAACATTACTTGTTAGTATTTAGTAAAAAAATGCAAAACATATTTTTTATTTTGACGTGAGTAGGTGAACCTGCAAAACTGCATTCTCTAGCCAATTTAGTAATGAAGATAACGGGGTTAGATTGAGGCTAGAACTAATCGCGTCAAAAATAATAAATTTCAATGCCGCATGTTTATGGTTTGTGTATTTACTGAAAGAAAATCAATTTAAGCAGAATTTAGATGCAGGAGGGAGTGAGGAGAGCGCCGTTTAACAAGAACCAGATGCGTGGCAATTATTTTTTTTGCTTCAGGTCTGTATTCTTAAAATCATGTCACGTTACAAGCTATTCTTTGTTATTTGTCGTCCCTAAATGCAGTCATTTACATGTCCAAATGAAAGATACACAATTTGCTGCCGTCAATGAATTCCAATCT